AAACGTGGCACAGTAGGAAGAGCAAGGACTTCAGCAACAGTAAACCCAGGTTTAAGTACTAACTTTACCATCTCCCCTGACCTGTCTTGACTTTTTTTTTTTTTTTTCTTCACCTGTAAAATGGGAATAATATCTCTCATCTGGCTTTAGAGTTTTGGTTATTATAAGAGATTGTACCAAGGACAACTTACGGCACAGAGTAAGCAGACAAAAAATACTGCCTTATGTCTCTCTCCTGCTCTAAGACTGCAATACAAGGACTTAAATTGGCAATTGGGACCCAGCCATCATACCAAGTGTGGTCTTTTTACCGGGGCTTCTGGGCAAAATGCCTACTTACGGCAAAGCAGAGGCACCAAGTAATTCCTCATTAGGATTCTAGGATTCCTGCTGTTCTTCATTGTTCCATTTTCTTGAAACCTGGGCATTTCTTAGTTTGTCTTAGGACCTATCTCTCTCCTCGGAGATGTTCTCTCTTGCTTTCTCCTGATCTCTACTCTACCTGATAGTGCAATGCACCACCTACATGGCTGTACTGGAAACTGCAGTCTTGGGCTCAGATCAACATCAAACTCACAAGACAAAGTAAACTTCACCCAGCCCTAAGTATTTTTGGCCTTAAGATAAGACAGGAAACAACCAAGCATGTGCAATAACAGCACAGTGGAGGATTCATTATTCCTAGTCACAGTTTCGGATGTCCCAGTCGCTTTACATTTGGGACACATGGTGGTCACAGGAGGGAGGCTGAGTACATGCAGACTACCTCAACTCAGGGAAGACAACAGATGAATGGCCTCCTCACCCTTCACACCTAGTGAATTATGACCCTTCTTCCCCACTCAGATGCAAGTAAGTTCCTCATGACTGCATTTCAATGGTAAGGTAAAAAGAGCTTCGTCCAGAACATAGTCACTAGGCTAATTCTCATTTACCTTGGTTATGGCATAAACTCTTAAACAAGTTCTTGAGTTAATGCTGTGGGGAGGTTAGACCAAGAGTCAAATCCTTAAGTGTCTCCCAAACCAGAGGAACTGTTATGAAACCAGCTGTTAATTCTTGCCACTCCATATATGTGTGGAGGGGATTTTAGTATAATGCAGTATAGTATACTAGATACAGATACAGTGTGAAATGCTTTATATAAATCTCCTTATTCAACCCCTCATGACAATTTTACAACAGAAATACCATTTTATTCTAATTTTACAGATGAAGAAATAAATTACAAGTTCAGAGTCAAATTGGCCAAAGTTCAAATCTTGATTGCCTTACTTGTTATCTACCATTGGGAAGAATACATAGCCCCATGAGCCTTCATTTTCTCACCCAAAATAATAATACCTACTTCCAAAGCACTATGAACAGTTGCAAAATTTGTGTATTGCACAAAAACATGATGGGGGCAAAAATCAAGCCTGCAGTCCCTCACCAAGCCGTGTGCTTTATGACGTTTTCTTTCCTGATTCAAGAGCTTTTCCTAACTTGCACAGAGGAATTCTATAAGCTAGTGGCAGCCAGTGCTGCCACCCAGTAGAGTTCGTAGTTTTTGTAAAGACTAAGGAATATAAATGAAGAATGCCTTGTATATAGAAGTTTATAATTAATATCTGCTCTCTTTATTCCCTTTACTGTATCAATGATAGATCTTTCTTTCAACAGAAACTATAAATGGCCAGTAAAAAATTAGAATTACTCTTGCCAGCTGTCTATGCCTTTCAGCAGATAGTCAGATCAAGAGTTCAGTCTCCACAGTAGAATTTGAGGACACGCTATTAGCAGAAGGGAATCCCAGAGACATGGGTCTCCTCATCTTTTGACCACAGTATACACTTCACCTGCTCTGCCTTTTTATAAGGGCAGCATTTCCAAAGCAAAGCGATATCTTCATTTAAGTCTAAAACCCACTATTTGAGCTTATCTAAAAACTCCAGCCTAAATTTTATATTTTTAAAAAATCAGCTTTGACCAGCCTGGGCAAAACAGCAAGACCCCATCTCTATAGATACTAATGGAAAAATTAGCCAGGCATGGTGGTGTGCTCCTGGGGTCCCAGCTACTCAGGAGACTTCAGGCAGGAGTATCACCTGAGCCCAGGGGGTTGAGGCTACAGTGAGCTGTGATTAAGCCACCACACTCAAACCTGGGTGACAGAGTAAGAACCCATCTCAAAAAAAAAAAAAAAAAAAAAAAAAAAGCTTTGTTAACTGTGTGCTAAAGAAAATTTTCCAAGTTCATTTGATTCACAAAATTTGATGTGATTTAAATAATTTACATCAGGACAATCCATAGTACTAATGTTATCATCATCTACTTTGACTACTTTGTAAACTGTATAGGTAGATGTAGCAGATTCAAGTATATCCTTGCAGTATACCCTTAAAATTATTTAATATGAAGATTCACAGAAAAAATAAATTTGATCCCATAACAAAGAGCATACAGGAAATAATTTGTTTCCTTTTCATTTGGATGTGCTTTGTGCCATTGATTTTTAAAGTCTGGATATTTTAGTACCCATTTTTTTTTCTTTTTCTTTTATATTTTATTTTTCAAAAGCAAAAATAATAACAATGTATTGTGGAATTTATACATAGAAGTAAAATATATGATATATAACAGTAGCAAAAAGGATAGGACAGAGGTAAATTATTATACCGTTATAAGTTTCTTACATTATTTGTGACATTGTTTAGTATCAATTCAAAGAAAACTAAAATAATGGACATATATTATGCCTAGAGCAACCACTAATTTAAAACATAATACAAAGAGATATAGCTAAGAAGCTAATAGGAAATATGAAATGGAACACTAAAATAATACTTGGCCCATCCAAAAGAAGGCAGAAAAAAACGGAGACAAATTGAAAACCACAGCAAAATGATAGACTTAAGCCCAACTATATCAATAATTACATAAATGTAAACGAACTAAAAACATCAATTGAAAGGCAGAGATTTTTTTTTTTTTTTGAAAGAAAGAGAAAGGGGGAGAGAGAACAGGAGTCTTGCTCTATTGCCCAGGCTGGAATGCAATCTAAAAATAGGTATTAAAAACCTCTTTTATGCCGATAATTGTGCTTAACAGCGGAGACAGGAAGGAGTAAGGGAAGAAAATAACAAACAAACAGCCAACCAATATTTCATTTAAGTCTGTGAAATGCTATGCAAATGCTGAAAAGTGAATTACTTCCAATTATGTGGTCACCTTCAAAATAGGTGTAATATGATACTGAGAAAAATGTATGTTCTGTGGACCTGGGGTGAAGAATTCTATAAATATTCACTGAGTTTACTTGTTCCAGGTCTGAGTTCAAATCATAGATGCCCCTGTTAATTTTCTATCTCATTGATCAGTCGAATATTAGCAATGTGGTGTCAAAGTCTCCCGCTATTACTGTGCGGGAGTCCAAGTCTCTTTAAAGTCATTAAGAACTTGTCTTATGTATCTGGGTGTTCCTATATTGGGTGCATATATATTTATGATCATTGACTCTTGTTGTTGCATTGATCCTTTTACCATTATGTAATGTCCTTCTTTGTTTCTTTTAGTCTTTGTTACTATTAAAGTCTATTTTGTCAGAGATGAAAGTTAAACTCCTGTTTTCTTTNTATTTGATTGGTAAGTCTTCCACCAACCCTTTGTTTTGAGTCTTTGCATGTCGTTGTTTATAAGATGGATCTGGCTGGATACAGCCAACTGATGGGTTTTGACTTTCTATTCAATTTGCCTGTCTGTGTCTTTGATTGGGGCATTTAATCCATTTAGATTTAGGATTAATATTGATATTTGTGAGTTTAATATTGTCGTTTAATGCTAGCTGGCTATTTTGCCCATTAGTTGATATAGATTCTTCATTATGGAGATACTCTTTAACTTTTGGTAAGTTTTTGGGATGACTGATACTGGTTGTTCCTTTCTGTGTATAGTGCTTCTTTCAGAAGCTCTTGTAAAGCAGACCTGGTGGTGATGAAATCTCTGAGTGCTTGCTTGTTCGTGAAAAATTTTATTTTTCCTTCTTTTATGAAGCTTAATTTGGCTGGATATGAGATTCTGGGTTGAAAATTCTTTTCTTTGAGGATATTGAATATTGACCCCCACTCTCTTCTAGTTTGTAGGGTTTCAGCTGAGAGGTCTGCTGTGAGTCTGATAGGCTTCCCTTTATGGGTAACCTGACCCTTCTCTCTAGCTGCCCTTAGAATTTTCTCCTTTATTTCAACCCTGGTGAATCTAACGATTATGTGTCTTGGGGTTGCTCTACTTGAATATCTTTGTGGTGTTCTCTGTATTACCTGAAGTTGAGTATTTTCCTGCCTTACTAGGTTAGGAAAGTTTTCCTGAATAATATCCTGAAGAATATTTTCCAGGTTGGATTCATTCTCTTCATGACATTCAGGTACACCTATCAAACGTAAATTAGGTCTTTTCATATAGTCCCGTATTTCTTGGAGACTTTGCTCATTCCTTTTTACTCTTTCTAATCTTGTCTTCTCGTTTCATTGCATTAAGTTGGTTTTCGACCTCTGATATCCTTTCTTCTGTTAAAACCTGTGCATACTTTGCGGAGTTCTCATATTGTATTCTTCAGTTCCACTAATTCACTTATATTTCTCTCTAGATTGTCTGTTCTCGTTAGGATTTTTCGTCAAACCTTTTTTCAAGGTTCTCAGTTTCTTTACATTGGGCTAGAACATGTTCTTTTAACTCACAGAAGTTTTTTATTATCCACCTTCTGAAGCCTAAATCTGTTAATGGAACGCATTCATTCTCCATCAGGCCTTGTTCCCTTGTTGATGAGGAACTGTGATCCCCTGTAGAGGGAGAGGCATTCTGATTTTGGGTATTCTCAGCCTTTTTACATTGGTTTCTTCCCATCATTGTAAATTTATCCACCTGTCGTCTTTGTAATTACTGACTTTCAAATTAGGTCTCTGAGTGGACGCCCAACTTGTTGATTCCCAGCACCGGAATCTGAGCAACCCATTGCACCAGCCAAAACAGCGGCCTTAAGATTCTTGGTGCTTTTCTGCCAGGGAATCTCCGGTCTGGCTTCCTTCTTGAGTCCATAATAGACGACTCTGCCTTCCGGGAGTTCCAAACGTGGGCCAAAAGGGGACCCAGACCTGTTTACTCTGCACCAAGAACTGCCACGCCGAGGAGCCGGCAAAACCGCTGTGCCGGCTACAAGAGTCGCGCTGGCGACCCATGGAGCTCCTCCCCTGGGAATCTCCTGGTCCGTGGGCAACAAAAATTCGTCTGAAAGTGTGGCGTCCTCTCGTTCTCTGCGCTTTCACTGGGAGCTACAATCCTGAGCTGCTAGTAATCAGCCATCTTGGATCTTTCTCCTCGTACCCACTTTTATGGTCACAAAAGGTAAGAACATTTAATATAACAATAGTCACAATGCAAAATGTATTTTCTACCACCTGGTCAACAACATGCAAATGAAGATATCATCAAGCTAATTGTTCTGGGAGAAACTGAATGTTTTCTGCAATTGTGGAAGCAAATGGGAGGTCAAAGATTTTCTGTCATAGGGTGAGGTGAGGTGAAGTAGAGAGATTTCCCCAAAAGAAATGGGGCAAGGGGCAGCAGTGGTTGCATCAAATGCCAGGCACTCCAAACCAAAAAGAATGACTCGAGAGGCTGGTTTTTTTTGCCAGGCTTTCTGGGAATTCTTGTTCCTGCCTGAGAACCTCTCATTTGAGGTTCTTTTGACTCAGCCCACAAATGCTTTCTCATTTTCTTTTTATCTCCTTTGTATTCTATTCAGTTAATTGTAAAATTCCTCAGGAAAGGCATTCTTTCCTTAGATATTCCACTTTTTTTTTTGCTATTCATCCCCCCAAAAGAACAACGTCAAACAAGATTTCACCATTTTTAGACCTCGTTTCAATTCAATATCCTTGCAGTATAAACTCTAGTTACGTGGGCATCTTGGGTGTGCTACAGGTCATGAATGATGTCTGTAAATAGAACAGAGTTCCTGTCCTCTAGAAGCTTATAAACTATTCACACCATGTTGGAAATGTCTGTCACCTTGTCTATTACCTCCAGGTTGTGAGCCAATGTGAGGGCAGAAACAGGACTTCCCCAGTCCTCAGTAACTTCTAGGTGGTGATGCTAAGTATGCACATAATATTTATTGTTTGGATGAGTTAGTTAATTAAAGGGAATCAAGGTGGTAACTTGGTTGGGCTAGAAAATACTTTAAGTGGAAAAGAAAGGCAGAAGTAAAGCACAGACATGAAACAAGGCGCCAGTGGAAATGTATGGGCTCTCAGGCAGCTGGGTCCAGGGACTATGCTGAAAAGCAGTCAGGCAGGTAACCTAATGTCCAAGACAGATTCCAGTCTTTGAAAGACGACAAAGAAGTTGAGACTAAATTTCATCTGCAAGAGATTAAAGATTTTATATTCCAAAGCAGGCGACTTCAATAGATTAACCATCTGGTGTTGTGCAGAACAGAGAGGGATGAACCTCTTCCATTGACTTGTGGTGTGTGCACATGTGCACAGATAGCAGAATGTGAGGAAGGAGTTTGAAAATAAATATGACAAATGTCGCTGACTGTCAAGTAAAGAGATTGATCTCTCCTCCAGTGGATACAATTTGGGTGCAGGTATGGCCTCCTTTGAGAATTTTTCTTCAGATGCTAAATCTCTGCTGACCATTGTAGTTGCTACACTTTTGGCTAAGAGTCAAGGGCTACATTAGGCCAAAGCATGGTGTTTCTGCTTCTGCTACTGAACTGAGAAACTCAAAGTAACTTTCTAAGAATAATTCATTGAAATGATGATCATAAGAATTAGAAAGGAATTACTATGGGTTATATTTGCTAAGTCATAAAAGCCTATTAGTGTCAACCTTCAGTCTAAGAGGATCTATGATTTACCCAAAAATAGGTGTTTTGTGTGGAAATTGTTTATGGTATGTTAGAATTTAATAGAATTAATAGACTTAAGGTGAATTGGAATAATGCAGTTTCTGGGCTCACAGCCCATAAAATCTCCTTCTCCACTTATCTAAATGGAACTTTCCATTCTATCTTGAGGTGCATTAGAGATGGAATGTCTCCTGACTTGGAGCACTTCGCCCTGTCTTGTCCCCACACCCATCCCACCCCTACCCCTTGTGACTGACGTTTTGCCTCACAGCTGTTTTTCTAATGCATGTCCAGTCTTCTTGTATTGGAAGATGCTTTCAAGTTGAGTCCTCTGACCCAGTCACACTACCTTTTGCCAATTTCCATCTCTACTTCATCTGAATCCAGTAAACTAATGGCTCTCAAATATTAGCATATATCAGAATTCCTTGGAGGATTTTATAAAACACAGATTTCTGGTCTTCATCCTTAGCATGTCTGAGTCAGGAGGTTTGGGATGGAGCCTGATAATTTTCATTTCTAACAGGCTCCCAGGTGATGATGCCAGTGCTCTTTGAGGGCCACTGTCTGACAATCATTGCAGCACGCAATTGAGTGCTACCTGTGTCCAAAGCCTGGACTTCAAAATAGGGACAGAAATTCAGTTTTGGCGTTACATTTATAGGGAGTTCAGACATAAGAGACAGAATAAAATCACATTTCAATAACAACTAACATTTTAGTAGGTACTTATTAAATCATTACACTAACTCTGTGGGTTAGGCGTAATTCATGCGATATTTATATGCCAAGATAAGAAAATGAAAGTTTAAATAAATCATCAAAATTGCCAGATACCACAAAGCTGAGTTTAGATTCAGATTTCTCTGCCCCCAGTAGGAAATTTTGGTCCCTCAAATTGTGCCCCTTTGATGGTATTCTGCTGGAGGAGAAAGTCTCAGATTTGCATGCTCAGAAATGGCAGTTTTCCCCAGTGTAACTAGAATAATCAAATATAGGAGGACTGTTAATTATTCCCATTTACTCTGGAGTAACCTACTTGGGAGACATTTCAACCTGGATAAACTTGTGAAAGAAAGAGGTTGAAATGCTCTTAAAGTTTTTTTACCTACTTTAAACATCTGTGGTCTTCACTTTATTAGCCAAGATTCAATTGCATTAATTTATATTGATAGAGAACTGCCAAGGAGTTAGAATCCTCTTTCCACAAGGAACACGTGCATTAGAAACCTTCTACACTGAGAACTGTTCTATCAGAAGGCTGCATCCAGAACAAAGGGAGTTAGGCTCTTACAATGGAGAATATCATCAGACAAAGGTAAAGGCGGCTTTTCACATTTTCCCTGAAATAATAGAGCTGAAAAGGCATCGTGCTACTTATATAGAGTCTAGAGTCCTGTTTAAGAAATGAATCCTTTTCACTCATTATCTTCCTCCAGTACCTTTGCTGATACTATCTAATTAAATGCTTCTAGTCTTTTCTTGAATTAAAATCACATTTGCTCCATTGAAGTTGGGCAGATACTGTTGTTTCATCTTTAGTGAGCCCACATAAGAACCCAGTTAGGGGCTGGACTATTTCTCCAAGTGGTGAACTTCATTTAACTTCAAGCAAAAGCTGACATCTTCTTGTACCTCATTGCCAGCTTCTAGGGTGACACTCTGTCTGGAAACTACAGACCATATGTACAGACAACAAGGAGACTTTGTATAAAGGATTTGACTTTTCCTCTCCAGCTGTCTGGAGAACAGCACAGGAAGTGTATCTTTCATGCATCATGTTTATGAAGTGACTGTTCATTGTAAAAACAAATTTATAACTGGTGTAATGTGTGTGGGAGATGTCTGGTGGCCATCGTGATACTAATCATAGATAAAATTAGAAGCTAGCATCATGAATTTGGAAAACTATGACCTCGATGCATAGCGTTTCTCATTTAAAGAAACAGCTTCTTAGATACCTTTTATTTATGCAATCTAATTTTTTTTCAACATTACAACATTCAAGAATTTTGCTAGGAAAACTAATATCAAAGTAGAACACTTGTGAAATATTTTATACAACAAAGGTCTGCAAAATTCGTGGGAGAGTTATATGATGTTTCATGTGCTATTAAACATTCCCTAATTTTCTGGGAATATGCTAAATTAATTTAGTATGACATAACCAGCATCAAAAAAAAAAAATGGAAAAAAATAGAACAGAACTAGAGTAGAAGAAGTTCCTCACTCATCTTAAAGGAAAGTATTACATTGTGAAAATTTTGTTTTAGTTATGTGTGTGTACATGTCTGTGTGTGTCTGTGTGTGTGTGTGTGTGTGTGTGCGTGTGTGTGAGAGAGAGAGAGAGAGAGAGAGAGAGAAAGAGGAGAAGAGAAAGGGGAGGAGTCTGAAATGTTAAATGCATTTTTTTTACCATAGGTAGTGGTTGTTTTTATTTTCCTTTATTCTTTTTTTTTCTTTTTTAGAGATGGGGTCTTGCCATATTGCCCAGGCTGGTCTCAAATTCCTGGTCTCAAGGAATCCTCCCACCTCAGATTCCCAAAGTTCTGGGATTGTAGTTGTGGGCCACTATACCCAACCATGGTTATTTTTTATTTTTATTTTCCTGAGATGGAGTCTCATTCTGTCACCAGGCTGGAGTGCAGTGGCACGATCTCAGCTCACTGCAACCTCTGCCTCCTGGGATCAAGTGATTCTCCTGCCTCAGCCTCTCTAGAACTGGAACTATAGGTATGCACCACCACAGCCAGCTAATTTTTTTTTTTTTTCATTTTTAGTAGAGACGGGGTTTCACCATGTTGGCCAGGATGGTCTTGATCTCCTGACCTCGTGACCCACCTGCCTCGGCCTCCTAAAGTGCTGGGATTACAGGCTTGAGCCACCACGCCAGGCCTAGTTATTTTAATGTTACTGCATTGCTAGACAGCCTATCACTTTTTGCCCAATGGTATAGAAATAGGTTGTAGCCTGCTTTTATTGTATCACTCTCCTCTAAGAGTCTATAAATCAGACTAAGCAGATGTTCAGAAAAACCATGCAGTAATCCAAGATTACATAGAGAACATTTTTGATATTTAGTATAACAAGTTGTGTGAAATTTGTGCCCTGGCTTCCAGAATGAGAAACTGCACGTAATACAGTTTCAGTGGCCATTTGAGTTCTGAGGTATGGCAATGAGCTGAGAAAGGATCCTTGTAAACACCTTCTGTTGCCAGCTAGGACTACATGGATATTAAAAGATTGATGACAGGACAAGTAAAGGCTAAATCGAATAATCAGTCCAAATAAGTCCCACACAGATCCAGAGGATAACATAATGAACTCGACCAGAGCTAGGAGTAGAGAAAAACTTCCAAAGGAAGGAGTATTGGAGCTAGCCAAGCAGAATTAGGTGGGTGGGGGGTTACTTATTTGGGGAATGGCAAGCAAAGACATTTGGGGAATGGGGATTTTCTTTTCCCATCTTATTTATGCGATGACAAGGAATAAATAAAATGTCATGAAATGATTTTTAAAGAATTTGTTTTGTAATATGCTTTAACTTACAAATATTTAATTTTTTATTGCTAGCTTATACATAGAGATGTAATAATCATCTTTTGGTACTTAAATCTTACTAGGCCCTCTTCTAGATGCTTTCCATGTGTGATCTCATTTATTTCTTACCTCTGCAGCCTCATATAACAGGTGGCATAATTTCTCTCTTATAAGTAAAACAAGTCACAGAATGGGAAACTATCTTGCTCAAATCTGCAGAATTTGAAAGTCAGGGAGCTTAGCTCAAATTTAGATTTGTCTGGCTCTTCCAAGAGCAAACTAATTTTGCTCTATAAGAGACAACTCTTCTAAGAACAAACTAATTCTTAGAAAGTCCAATTCAAAAATTTTCTGGCAAATAACACTCAAGCTGCTCATGTTTGAGTGATATTCTATAGACGAAGATGCAACAAACTTCTCTGAAAATTTTGATTTTGTTCTTAAAAGAATAACGTCCTGAAATTTCCTTGAATGTGAATTGCTGCCATATATCAAGTTGAGACCTCAAATATTCAAGTCACTAGTTTTTGGGGTGATAATTACCAACGTCAACTAAAGTCAAAAGAGATCAGTGAAAAGCATTGCCAACCATTAGATCCACTCTACTTTTTAGTGTAAAAATAATTTTTGGAGAAACTTAAAGTAGGGTTTTAAATTTTAAAAACATCTAAATTTAAATAAAACAGACATTGCAAACTATCCTATTTGGTTACTGCTTTGGGATCAGTTATTATTTCCATTTAAAATGATAGCTTTTTCTGGCTTCATTTAATAGAGAAATCTCTATTTGCCTAAAAAGGCTAATAATGATCCTCCTGAAACTGGGAGAGGCACTATATTGAGATATTTTGTGCTCCTACTTTGGGTGTAAAGGGTGTCAATTGAATGAAAATATCTCATGTACCTTTTTTTTTTGTTTTTTTTTTTTTTGAGATGGAATGTTGCTCTGTCTCCCAGGCTGGAGTGCAATCGCACGATCTCGGCTCACTGCAACCTCCGCCTCCCAGGTTCAAGCGATTCTCTTGCCTTAGCCTTCTGAGTAGCTGGGATTATGGTTGCATGCCACCCTGCCTGGCTAATGTTTGTATTTTTAGTAAAGACAGGGTTTTACCATATTGACCGTGCTGGTCTCAAACTCCTGACCTCAGGTGGTTCAGCCACCTCGGCCTCCCAAAGTGCTGGGATTATAGGCGAGAGCCACTGTGCCTGGCCCATATATCTTCTTTTGAATGTTGAACATCATATTCCCTTTCACTCTGGGTTTTCTCAAAGCTGTCTTGCAGTAACAACCCACTATTTTTAATGAAGATAGCTTTTCTCCATAATTTCATCTATTTAATCAAATTATAACCAATATAACTAATATTTATTGAAAATTTACTCTGTACCAGATAGTGTTTCAAACAAGGTTTGCAATTTAAAATCTGACACAAATATTTGAGATAGATATCATTATTCTATTTTTTTGTATAAGGAAACTGAATCTCAACAAGAGCAAATAATAAGCTATGAGCTTGTGTTTACGTTCAAGAAGTCTTATTTCAGCACCAAAGCTTTGAAGCAAGCATTTTTAACATTGTTTCCCAGACTGGATTTCAAGAGAATAATAGCTCTACAAGATATTAACAGTTATTTTTCAAAACAAGATTCCAGTCTCTGAGTAGTTTGCCAATGCATGAAATGTTATTGCACAATTTTGCAAAACCTTTAATATGTTAATAGGCATTGTGAATCTTTAAGAAGGAATATTGTGTTTCTATGCAGTGTTTCTCAAACATATTATATGTGTGTGTACGTGCACACATACACGATTGCATGTATATATATGCATATCTGTAATTGTATTTGTATACATTTAAAAACGATTATACATATTATAAGTAATTACATACATATGTCTTTACAGTACACTCATAAGGAAGCACAGGTTTGTATTCATCCAAGTGTTCACATTAGTGAGGTCTTGTATTGACTTTGGCATATCCCTGGCCATTCTGATTCATGTGCTCTAACTGTAACATAACTCAAAAACAATAGTAAGCTCCTAAATTTTTCAGGGTACAGCACAAAAAGAGAATATTTTAACACTCTGAAATTTATATCCCTTCCAGAGGATATAACACTCAAATGCATTCACAGTGACTAAGGAAAGTTATCTAATCTGGAACATTAGAATTAAAGAGTCCATCACACATCTTCTAGTCAGCCTTCTTCCTCTGAGAAAAGTTCTACAGAAGTTTTCAAGACAAATTGTTGTTTCTTAGAAATTTCCAGTAACAAAAGTTATGTAAGTTCAGTTTTTAAGCTCTTTCCTGAGTTATATTGACCTTACCACATAAAAGTGGCTTTTAGTTGTAAAACTAATTTCTTCCTTTTTTCTCCAGTTATGTCCTTAAGGCAATGTTTTGGAGCTCTGCTTTTAGAATTGGGGAAGAGTTAGTCCTCGTTTCATCAGAAAGGTCATTTTTATAATGGTAACTATATTAAGATCTGAGCACTGTAAAATCAACTTTATGATAGTAAGAGTAATTATTGTGTGGAATTATATAATCTGTACAGCATAGCCTTTATGCATGTACACACAGGTATACCACACACATGTATACACACAGGCATACACTTACACATGCACAGCTTTTCTTGCTAATTTTGCCTTATGATAATCTAAGAAAATTTGCCGTAGTCCACTACTATCCACAGTAACCTCCTTTAACTATGATTCATACTACCATCTACTGAAGAACATTAATAATTCAAGAGACTTGGGTTCTAGTTTGACTCTGAAAACTGTGGGGCTTATCTCTTTTTGGCAGTTTACTTACAATACTCATGATTTGGTTTTCTCATCTGTAACACAGGGTTAAATAATATTGTGTCATGCCTTAATTAATTGGTATAAAAATGAAAGTGATATATGTGTGTGAGGGTACTCGAGTTCCTTTTATTTTTTCACTTCTCTACTCGTTATGTTTATATTTTAAAAATACTTTTCTTCCTTGTTAAGGGTCCCATTTTACTGCTTCTTGTCATGCCCAGTGATTTGCTATTGAATGTTGGACATTGTGATTGTTATATTGTTAAGTGTCTGGATTTTCTTGTCTTTAATGAGCGTTTTGACAGTTAAGTTGCAGATCAGTTTGATTGCTTTGAGTCTTGTTTTGAAGCTGTCTTAAGGCTGAGTTTGTTGCTGTTGTTGTTGTTGTTATTTTGTTTTGTTTTTGAAATAGGGTCTTGCTCTGTCACCCTGGCTGGAGTGCAGTGGCACAATCACAGCTCACTACAGCTTGGACCTCCTGGGCTCAAGTGATTTTCCCACCTCAGCCTCCCCAGTAGCTGGGATTACAGTTTTGTGCCATCATGCCCCATGTACGTTTTTGTAGAGATGGCATTTCTTGCCCAGGTTGGTTTGAACTCCTGGGCTCAAGCAATCCACCTTCAGCCTCCCAAAGTGCTGAGATTACAGGTATGAGCCACTGTACCTGGCCAGGGATGGTTTTAAGTAGCCTTAACTTCTGGGATAATTTCACCAAGATATGATCATTTTGAGCCTGCACTGAATGTCCTCAAGTGATTACTGAGGACTCTTCATGCTGATTGATTGGTGTTCAAATGACACCCTGACTTTTGTGAGCTCTAGAAATCATTCTGTTTACAAATCCTAGGTTTCTCTTTGAGTTCATGGAGTTTTACTCCTACATGCACTGTCTAGCACTCAACAAAGACTCAAGGTGATTCCAGTAACAAATCTGCAGCTAGGTTTTTGTTTTGTTTTGTTTTATAGTTCTCTCTTTTCTGTAGCTTTGTCCTACAGCTTCAAAGGAACTCAGCCTCTCTGAACTTCAATTTCTTTCCTCAACTCCCTAGGACTGCTAGATTCTGTTTGGTTTCCCCTTCCATGTGAATTTGGTACAGAAATTGCCTCTAGGCAGGAAGCTAGGGAGGTTGTAGGGCTCACACCATTGTTTCCCTTTCCTCAGGGATAATAATCCTGGGCTTCCTATTGCCTAAAGCCTAAAAATACTTTATTTTAGATATATCATCCAGTTTTCTGTGTTTATAGCAGGAGGTTAAGGCTCGTCCTTGTTATTCCATTGTACAAATTTCATATAAAGTTTCTTTCAATTCTTTAAATGATTATACTTTTTACATCTCTCAATATCTGTTTCTTAAACATTTAGATCAATATACTCTCAAATGTCAGTTGCCATTATGTGTTTGAGTGGGTATGTGAGAGGGAGAGGAGAAAGATATACCAAGCATGTTATAGAAAGATACCACTTTTTATTTTCTGCTTTTCAACTTTCAGGTTTTGGCTTTTGAGTAGTAGACCTTTTTTTTTTTTTTTTTTTAAAAAAAAAAACTTTAATAGTTATATTTTTTAAAGCAGGAACTATTTAAAAAAGCATCAAAATTGTCATTTCTGCTGTATTATTACCTAGAATGAAGCTAAGTAAAAGTGAATTTAAAGAAAAAGGATTTTAAAAAATCACAATAAACATAAAAAACAAATAAGGCAAGCTCTGTGAAGGCGGCAAGCTGGTGTATGGCTGACGGGTTTGGGGCACCCTTTCCACAGTAGAAGGACTAGATAAAGTGAGAGAACAGAGGAGTAAAGCGCTTGGACATTCTGCATCTGATCTAACACTTTACTTTTATTCCCGTTGAAAATTCTGTCTTCCAAAGATATATTCATACTAATGTTCTTCTGGGGGGATCCTTCTGCATTTGAATTGGCTAATAGAAGACACTTGCAGCGTCTGGAGGTCAGCAATATGACGTTACTAGCAACATCCACTTTAATCAGGAATAATCTAAGGACCACATAGTCCTGAATATCGCTTCTTCATCCATACTTTCCTTTCCCCTGATAACTAAACACTTTTTCCATTTATTCAGAGAGAGAAAGAAGACTAGGTGAAAAACTTAAAATAGCACTATTAAGATATAAGAACACAGAGTAAAATGAACGGGGACTTTTCTGACAGAAGGAAGCAGAGGGTTCAATTTAAAACCTGTATCTATTTTATAGTTGCCTATGCTGTGGTTGTGTTGGACTGCCAGAGTTCAGAAAGCAGACACTGTCATTATGGATTAACTGGATGAATGACTTACCAGGGAGGAAAAGAACTGAATGTGTTCAGAGTCGGTGACTACCTTATTCTAAGCCTAGGTCTGTGCCTCTGCCTCCCAGTGCCATATGGCAGAAGCATAGGAGGGTTATTTGAAGTTTATTTAGTTCCAAACTTTTCCACGAAATGTGGTGATTTTATTCATTAACGCTGAGAAGGCAGATATTCTGCAATATGATTAACAATAGTGAAAAGAAACTATAGAGATAGCTTATTATAAATATAATCAATAGCTCTATAGATCTGTGGTTTTATTGAATTCCAAGGCTTTGAGACTAAAGCAGCAAAGATCTAAGTTGCAAGATGCTCTGTTTTACTGTTTTTCTCTACATCTTCTTTACATCCCTCCTGATGCTACAATTTCTTCAGAGCTTGGGACTGTATGTAGAGTTATTTGGCTGACCCTTTTAGCACACAGTAGTTGTGAGAAAACATGTCAAATCATGCTGTGAGGGGAAAAAAGTTAAATTCTGCCAGTTGGTTGTCGAATATCTTGTAAGAAAAATTGAGTGCTTAGTCTTCTACATAGGACTGCCATTTAAATATTTACCTTAAAAAAAATTAAGGATGAGCCAATCCTTCTAAATGGAAAAATACAATGATGTGTCACTAAACTACAATCCCAATGAAGTAATTTTCTATTCTTTTCCATAAGAGATAAGCACCTACTGAGATAAGTACAAGATCCTACAAGTAGAATAGACTTGGAAAACAACACAAACTAGAGGTTATTGGAGAAGCAATGTCAGAGACTTTACTGTTTCTTCATATCTCCTTTTTAAAAAATATTGGAACTCACCCCTACAACAGGAACAGCTAGCATTAAAGTTGGTGTTGGCCACTAGGTGGCAGCGATGCCTCAGTAACATTACTTGAACAATGAGGACACAGTTTGCCAATCTTTCTCCATCTTAACCTCCAGATTCCTAAGCACCATTTTCCATGCTTGAAACTATCACTAATGGAATCATAAATTCTATCCATAGCTCCACTCATTTTCATGTTTTATTCTCAAGAGGAAAACATAACTTCTCTTAAGCTCTTTATGCTGTCTATAATTTCTAGGACTTTTATTCAGACTTTGCTTTGCTGGAATTTTTTTTTTTTTCTGCTTTTCACCTCATTTTCAGTTTTTTTTCTCTCCTCTTGTGTCCTCTTTTGTATATACAAATATGCCCAGGAATAGTCTTAAAATTCTGCACAGCTAGGCATTAAGATCTATCACGCACGTTTATCTTGGCTTTTCCTCCTCAGCTGATCCTTCCTCTGTAGCATAAGAAGACTTTCTCTGAGAGGAGAAAGATGAACTATTTACTTTTAGTTCCCAGTTCCTAGATCTGCTAACTCACTTCTTCGGCCCCACAGAAGCAGAAAAAGAAAAAATCTGTTGAGCATAAATCTCATGATTTTGTCTTCTCTGAACAGACATTTCTGCCAATTTGCCTTTAGGGATGTTGAGCTTTGAGAATTCTTCTACCCGCTCTTTCATTTTGTTTCTTCAGCTGGGGTTAAATTAAGTCAGTATACAAGAGGACCTCTTTAGTGAGATGTTATTGCCAACATCCACTTCAAATATCAACTTAATTAAAACAACTGTGCTTCTATGGAGAATCAGCATACAATCACAGAAGTAAAGCTGAAAGTTAACTTGGAAATAATGTTGCTCAAGTATCTGAAACCTTCATAGAGGAAAGATTTATGTATGTATTCTCCAGAGCCTACAGGTCAAAAGGGAGGGCCTTGTAGGGCTTTACTGAAATCAGAGTCTGATATTCAGGCAAGGGAAAAGCCATAACCATCAGTTATATTTTCCTCCCAGGAGGGAGTCTGCACAAGACATCGATGCTGGATCGTGGTGGAGTGTTATGTGCAATGGCAGTACCTGCTGGTGAATCTCTCAGATAAGATATTTTAAGCTTTGTAGGTGGAGTATATCATTGCTTAGAGAGTCACTAGCCAGATGATCATTCTTGGGAGGCTTACATATGTTTCTTAAAATTTTATGTCTAGTTCTGAGAGAACTCAGATTTCTGGAACAAAGATTACCCATCTACACAATAGAATTATTGAATATTTATTATTTATATTGCTGTGGTAAGTAATAAATAACATATGCAATTCACCCTGCATAGCATGTGATAGGAATTAAGGAATCAATATATGTAATTTCCCTTCTCTAAGTAATAAACAACAAATGGTTATAAGCATGGGCTTAGAGCAAGACAGATTTGCATTAAAATTCTGCTTACCCACTTACTGGCTTTATGTTTTTGACTTTTTAAGTTTGGTTTTTTTCTCTGTAAAATGGAAATATAATAGCATTTAACTTATAGGCAAGGTGCTTTTTCAGGATTTATTGGCCATGTGTGCTCTACAATAAATATGCAAAGAATTGAATAATACATTAATAGTTCTAATAGTATTACTATTAGAAAATATTTTGCAGCCAAATTGATGAAACACATCAAAACAACTGGAAAGGCCAAATTAAGGCTGGGCGTTAGAACTGATTACTAAGCTGGGCAAATGATGAACTATTTATTAAATGCTTTAGGACACAATTATATTATCTATATACTGTTTTCTTCTACAGTAGAAGTGCATTTCTAGAAAAAAATTGAGAATGAAATCATTTTCTCTTGTTTTGGCAAGAGGAAAGTTATTTAAAAGGGTTGGATGATAAAGGTAGCTAGATTTCACAGAATCATGGAATGCTCATTCTATCAATCCTTTTCATTCTATTACTATTTCAAACACACTTAATTTCTGCCAATAATTTGATTATTTTTAAAAAATTATAATAACACTTATAACTACAGACATATATTTTTCCTTAATTAAAAAAAATAGAAGTCAGAAGCTAAGTTTAATTTCTATGCTTTAGGACTTAATAAATATATATTACAAGGATACAAAACCCCCAAGATTTGCAATAATAAGGAAAATATTCAGTTAACGCAGCAGTACCTGAGTAGGATCACTGAATATCCAGTCGGTGTTCAGGTTGTAACTTAAATACTTTGGTTGTAAAGGTAATTTCCTTACAGTAGTGACAAATTAAGCAATAAAAAATGATTTGGTGACAGAAGAAGTGGCCAGGGCATTACCAACACACCCAATCTTCAACAATTCAAAGAATGTAATTTTCTTATGTAGAAAGAAAATATCAAAATGGCACTGAACTCTAAGCATAATGCATTTAGGCACATCTGAAAACTAAATTTGCCTTTCTTCATGTTTCGTGGAACTCAGTTATAATTCACTTTATTAACATCTTCTCTAGAGAAATCGGAAATAAAATTCTGCCCTTACCTGCCCTCCCTGTGGTCACTGCATGAATTCAATTATAATACCTTGAAATACACTCTTGTGAATCAAATTGAGGAGGTTATATCAAACAAATATATGTAGTTTAAATTATAGAAATTAATAGATATGTCTGTGACAATAGCTTAACTCTAGTGGAAAAATAATGCAAATTATCATTTATTTGCTAAGCTCCTGGCAACCTTACCTAGATATTTTGATAATGTATCACATGATAAAGAACAAGGGACATACATGAACATGAAATATATGTTATATTTTATGAGAAAATGAATTAATTTTTTATGTATAAGTACATCGGCCTTTAAAAATAAAACCTCTAAAGTCATGTGTTTGCTCTAGCATTGCAAGACTTTGTTTCTATAAAGGAAGATTGGAAAAAACCCTAGGTTCAGCACAATGAAAATAAAACAGCAAGTCAGAACATAGCTATCTTATTCATAAAAATATCCTTGATCAGGATAAGAAGTTGCTTATATTTGCAGGCATATTTTTGGCCTCATACATGCACAAAATAAAGGGAGTACAATTTTCAGAGATATTTAAGTGAACAATAGTATGCCATCACTACATTCTATCTTTCACATTGTTATACTCAGCTAACTCATCATTCCTTTTTTCCTGAACAAAAATGTATGAGAGTTATAAAGCCCCAAGTATCAGATCAGATTGTTCTAGCTTTATCTCATCAAACATTTTCTATATTGAAAAGTTATTAGAAAGCAGCACACACACACAAATAATCTTCTAAACAGGGTTTTCTAATATTAATCAGAGCATATTAGTATTGCTTCTGTTTCCTTTTATGGAGGAGATGGTATGAGTTTAACTTGAAGTTTATAAAGCTTAAAACTTTTCAGAAGAGGAAACAGGAGACCAATAGAAGTAAAATGACACATATTGGGTGACATTAAAAACGGATGCAGTGATCATAACATGATTCTGGAGTTCATTCTCTTCTTGGGATAACCCAAATCATGGGTTTCATTTTAAGACTTAGCCAAGTCCCTTTCTAAAATTCTCTTCTACATTTTCTATTCACTGACCTCTCTGTCATTCACCTACATTTTCTGGTCATTAAAGCAATTAAGCCATTCTGTTGATCACTTTTGATGTTTTAAGTCAAAAAGAAAATAAGTCTATTGATTTCATTTAACAATTTATTTAACCAGTCTTTTCTGAGATTCTGCTATGTGCCAGGGATATAGTTCTAGGGAAATCAGTAATAAGACTATTTTATTCACTCTTCCTGGAGTTTTTAGTTCTGGTAGTGGCAAAGAGACAATAAACAATACATCATGTGCAAAGTAGTGATTAAAGGGTATAAAAAATAACACAAGGGATCTCAACAAAATAATGGGAGGAGAGAAGTTCTTAATTTCATATCTTTGAGAAAGACCTCTTTAATAAGGTGACATGTCAATAGAGAACTGAGGGAACTTAAGGAGTAGACTGAGTGGCCATGGCTGAAGAAAAGAATTCCCGGCACAGAATGTAGAAATTGCACAGTCACTGAGACAGGAGTATACCTTGGGTGTTTGTGAGTGGTGTGAACTAGTAAGAAGTGGAAAGGGAGTAGGAGATGAGATCTGAGATGTAGCTAGGGGCAAAGTCATGGGGGATTTGGGTTTGAATTCTGATAAGATGAGTTTTGTTATCTGACTTACATTTTGAACGGGGGTCTGGATGCTGAGTGCCATGGTCTGTGCCTATAGTCTCCGTTACTTAGAAAGCTGAGGTGGGAGGATCCTTTTGAGACCTCTTGGTCTCATGGATACCTGCCAGGGCAACGTAGAAAGACCCTGTCTCTAAAAAATAAGACTGGGTTGAAGTGATTAGACACAATTACAACTTCTGTCCCTACAGGCTGCAGTCAGTGCTGCTGAAGATTCAGCTTTGTTTCAGGCTTTCACACCCTAGCTCTGAAGCGTTGTTTGGGCAGGTGTGGAGGGATGCTCCCTGGAGGCACTACACAGGCTGAGTCCTGTCCTTACCTGGCTGTAGAGAAGGCCTGCAACAGCATCTTTTTTGCTTTTAGACATATTTTGACATTTTTCAACAGTATTATGGCTGGTGTATTTCTTTGTATTCTAAGACCAAAATCCAACCAAATCTGACCATTCATTAATAGGGTTGAAAATTTTAAGTTGCAGATGCATTCTCATCAAAATAAACAGGATCATCTGCCCTCTTTTTGACTAGGTTTAGAGGAAGCAATCAACAATAAACATAAATGAAATATTTGTTGAGAAAAATGAACCAAAATATTATGACTAGTAATTTTTTGCTTTGTTGGTCAGTTTCTTGAAAGACTCTTTGTTCCATTGATAGCAAAAGCCAGGGAGACACTATTGAAATTATAGCACAATGACTTAGGGAAATGAGGAAAAAGTTTTAAAAATTGTAGGAGTCTCTAAAATTGTAGTAAAGAGAATTTTAAATCTAGTTCTTTCACTCAAAATGTCAGGTGAATATTTCTCCCAAAGTGGCAATCTATAAGATGTATTTTCATTGTACCTAAAAATATTTGTACATGTGTTAAATTGACTAATGAGGCAGGAGAAAAAATATTCATTGCTTCTGAACACAAAAACTTATGAATCTCACTTTTCTTCAACTTCTTCCAATGATGAGATTTTACCAAGGATGATTTTAGAACTAAAATGTAGCCATACTTACTATGCTTGGTTAACTTTTAGTGTAAATTCAGGGGCTCTAATTGTAAGCACTAGTTCTTAAGTTTAAATATAGGATGGCACAATGGAACTATAATGGATATTTGTTGCTGTCAAAGAGATATGAGAATGAAGCCTTCCTTTCCTGTTTAATAATTCTATAATCTTGAATAAATTTATGATCACATTCGAGCTTGCATATCTACATTTTAGTATCATTATGAGGATAGAGTTACATCCAATTACTAATTAATATAGGAAGTCAGTAAATATTTGTCCCTTCGTCTATTTTCTTTCCTTTTTTAAGACAGGGTCTTATTCTGTCACCCAGGCTGGAGTGCAGTGGCACTATTATGGCTCACTGCAGCCTTGATCTCCCAGGTTCAAATCATCCTCTCACGGCACCTCCTGAGTAGCTGAGACCACAGGCACGTGCCACAGATCCAGTTAATTTTTTTTTTTTTTTTTTTTTTTGCAATAGAGATGAACTCTCCTTATGTTGCCCAGGCTGGTCTCAAACTCCCAAGCTCAAAGGATCCTTTCACCTTGGCCTCCCAAAGTGATGGGATTACAAGTATGAGCCACTGGGCCCGGCCCTTTATCTATTTCTAAGAGTGGCTTTCAGGTACAGGTTAATATTTGTATATAAAATAGAGAAAAAAGTAGAAAACATACTCATATCCATACTAAAATAAGAAAATTACAGTTAAAATATGCATATTTTTCTATACTTAAATTTTCCTTTAATAAATTAATGAAATTTATTAACCTCAAAAAGAGAAGCAACTTCTAAATTTTTTAAAAATCAGATCTGTTGTGAAATAATACAGTAAATGATACAGGATAATTTTTGTGTCTTCATTTTTTCTATTTTAAACATTTTAAGCATTCTGATAGTTTCCGGGTTACATTAGCCAGTGGTGGTAACAACTGGTAATTACAGATGCTTGTGGCTTGTTTTAATCAGATTGAGCCTCCATAAGCTCACTCAGAGAAGTGAGAGATGTTGAAAATAGGGCCAAAGAGTGCCAAGGTCAACAGAAAGGAGAATCCCTAAGCAGCTGCGTTAGGTGTGGATTCAGGAGTCTTGTCCCTGTCGCCTGTAGGGAAGCAGCTATATTTGTCTTCCTGCTGAGATGACTAACTCTGGTTAGTGCTCAGTGCAAGCTTTGATTCCTTATTTATGAAAAAGGTGATAACAGGGAATTTGGAGTTTCAGAGAGATACGTCAGCTGTCTGGGAAAAATTTCATAGATCTGATGGAGAACAATGAGGAAAACTAAAGTAAATAATCAAATGTTATGAAGCATAGGCATGATGAATTTAGCATCAAGGTTAACAGACATACATTTTAGAATATAACAAAGAATAGGTGAAAGAGAAATAATGATGGGCACAAATGCAAGAAAAACCATGTGCACTTCTTCCCATAGATAAAGAATTCAAACCTTCCTTTACTGATAATTTAAGCACTATTAGGGCAATCGTATTTGATCATTATTTATTTCACTTTTGATTTCCAAGTACCTAGAACAGTGCTGGTGATAAGAGATGCACAATAAGCATTTACTGATTATATGACTAAATGAATGATTGAATGAAGGAATAAGTGAATGGCTGGATGTATGGATTAAAAGCAATAAAAATATCTAAAGTAGACCCCCAAGAGATAAAAGTTTGAAGAAACCTTATTCAAAGGCAATAAAGAAAAGTGAAGTGAGGTCCTTTGCAATTTGTTAATAGATTTGTTAATAGGACCATTGATGGGGAAGAGACTTTCTTACAAAAGCTGGGATCAAAACATCGTAGAAAGTCTAGTGAGGGGTATCCAGCCTATCTGTTGCTGCAGTTTTCCTTACATGGCCTTTTTATGTCTATCTAAACCTTATTTAGATTTCCTTGATAGTAACTGTAACAGATAGTATTTATTTGTCTGTCTTTTCCAACCAAACTATAATCTCAAAAGAGATTCTTGTGGATGTGCACTGATATCATATTGTGCTTTTAATTTCAATTTTCCTGTTGGTTAATAATGTTAGGCATCTTTTCATGTGCTTATTGGCCATTTGAATATCTTCATTGGAAAAATGTCTAATCATATCCTTTGCCTGTTTTTTTAATCAGGTTAGTTGGTTTTCTTGTTTTTTTCTCTTTAGCTGTGTTTTGTGTCTCTTTTTAATTGGGTTTTTTTTTTTTATGATCAAGTTGTAAGAGTTTTTTTCTATTCTGGATATAAGACCTTTACTAAATATATAATATGCAAATTTTTTTCCAGCTTCTGACTTGTCTTTTTATTTTCTTAATAGCATCTTTTGAAGTACAAAAACTTTTAATTTTAAGGAAGTTAAATTTATCATGCTTTTTTAATGGCCCTCACTGTTATGATTATGTCTAAGAACTCTGCCCACACCAAGAACATGAGGACTTTCTCCTATCTTTTATTGAAGAAGTTGTATAGTTTTAGCTGGTAGATTATATCTATGGTCCATTTTGAGATAAATTTTGTGTGTGGTGTGAGGTAATGATCTAAATTTATTTTTTAATATGGACATCCACTTGTCCCAGTACCACTTGTTGAAAAGACTATCTTTTTACTCTTACATTGTTTAATATCTTTGTCAAAAATCATAAGCAATTATTTCAAACTCTTAATTCTGTTCCATTTATCTATATACCTATCTTTACACAATACCGCACTGTCTCCATTATTATACAATGTTTTAAAATTGAGTAGTAAAAATAAATTTGTTCTTCCTTTTTCAAAATTGTTTTGGTTATTCTAGATCCTTTACCTTTCTATATAAATTTTAGGAGAAACCTGTCAATTTCTACACAAAATCCTGCTTGGATTTCGATAAATACTGTGTTAAATCTATAGATTAATTCGAGGAAAATTGTCATCCTAATAATACTGAGTTCTGCAATCCATGATTACAGACTGTCTCTCTATTTTAAATTTTCTTTAATTTCTCTCAAGAATGGTTTATAAAATGCAATGTATAATTATTGTACTTTTGTTAAATTGTTGGAAGAAGCCCTTTATCAGAATGAAGTTTTTTCTATTTTGCTGAGAATTTTTATTATAAATGTTGGGTTTTATCAAATGCTTTTTCTGCATCTTTGAGATGACGTATTTTTTTCTTTCATTCTATAATATGATGTGTGTATTACACTAACTGATCTTCAAATATAAAGACAATCTTGCATTTCTGGGATAAATCCAATTTGGTCACGATATATATAATCTTTTTAAATAAGTTGTATATGTTGTTGAATTGACCTTATTAAAGTTATTAAAGAATTTTGTATCTATGTTCATGAAGAATATTTGTTTT